ATTACTACCTTTTCCTGAAGTTGAGCTGTCACCTTTTACAACTTCTTTGACATAAATTCTTACTGATTGGATTTTGAACTCTACTGATGACCTCACAAACATGACCTCACACGCATGCCACTGCATGTCGAATTGCAACTGTCGAAATAAGTTCCAGGCTAATCCTAAGCAATTTTCAATGTTTGTCAATTCAAAAAGTCCCAACTTTTCCATATTTTTTCATCTACCCACTGTGTCGGTTTTAAACGAGTTTGATATCGCGAACTTATTCGCAAAATTTGTCCAGTGTACATATTCATCAATTAGTTTCGATAATACCTCATCATGTCCATTTTCTTTTCCGTACTTCAATTGCATTTTTATGCCCATAACCAGTGAAGTGAATCTCAAAACATTCAAGCCTTTCCTCTCTTCTGCTCCAGACCTTGTCCTTAGCTTTCTTCTGAGAAATTTTGCTGGTGCTTTATGTAGACCACTTTCAAAACATTTTCAGATATTTCCGACACTTTTGGGCAATTGTTCTTGATGTGTCAAAGACGAACTTCAAGGTTCACGATCCTTGTCGAGTTTTATGTTGCCTTTATAATGTTTTCAATTCTTTACTACCTGTTGAGTTGTCTTTAGAGTTTAATGTACAAAATATGTTAAGACACCTATCCTTGCCTCTTGCCCACTTGATGTGAATCGGAGCATATCGTTAAAAAACTCTCCATTTTCGGTTAAAGGTTTACATATTATGGCAGATATTTGATATATTTTCGCAAATAAATAAAAAAATAATAAATACTTAAATTTTCAGCAAGTTTGTTTCCGATCAAACATCGTTAACACAGTTTTCGTAGACGATTCCGTTTGGACCGAAAGAAATTTTTACAATCAAGGATAATTGGTGAACAATAATAATTTCTGTGTTTATACAATCAAGAGGAACTAGACAATAATTAAAATTGTCGTAACACTGTCCAATCGGCTTGAATTTATACGAACTTCGATCTTTTCAAATCCAAACAGATAAACACTACACTGCTTTAACTTTGGTAAGCACAATTTTTGAACAAGTCCCTACGGAAAATATTAAATTTACTGCCAGTATAAAACCACGAGATTTAGTTTCGCTTTCGAATCGAAACAATTTTGCTCGTTGAATCAGTCATTTTGTTTAAAATTCGAATGGTTATTCTATTACCTTAGCTTCAGAAAATTCTTGTTGTAGCTTATGGATGGTAATCTTTTAGATTGCGTTCTAATAAAATTGATCAAACTTATCAAGTTGAAGATGAAGCTATAAAGAAGTAAAACAAAAATAATAATACAAATTATTGCTATCACTCATATTTATGTTTAAATATTATTTTTCTTGCTGATAAGAATAATCTTGTTCTTATCTTATTCCGATATGTTGTCAGCGTATCTTGCAAAGCAAAAAGAGTATTCCAATTCGCAAACAAGAATAACAGGGAAAAATTTTTAGTCTTGGCGATTGAGTTGCTCCAAGTCTCCAAAGTTAACATGATTGTTCCTAGTGTTATACAAATAGGTTAATTATTTAATTAAAATTTTTCAAACACGAGTCTTTACACAATTATATTTTATATATATACTTATACACTTTACTTTACTTATATGTATTCTACTTACACTTATACTTATACTTTATATACAATACGAAATTTTCAAAAGCAAATATATGTATGTTAAGTTTGAGTACTATATGCAATGTACTGTTAGTAGTTATCAATTTTTATTATAACCACAACACCAAAAAAATTTATTTGGAATCTCGTAATCACGTACCCTAAATTTTTTATTCGATAAGATCATGTGAGTATTCTCACATCATTTGAGAACGGCTGAACCGATTTGTATGAAATTTTCTTTTAATTGTTTAAAATTTCCATTCAAATGTGATTGTTGCTAAATGTTGAAAAACCTTCCTGAAAATTCTTTAGGGCCTTAACAGACGTTGACAACTTACTGTTAAAGTATACAGGGACATTATAGTGCAAAATTACCAAAGTAAGCTTTGTGAGAGTTGTTTTTTTTTTAATAATACCTTCTATTAAACGACATTGTGAGGCGTACACGTGTTGCACATCGGCAAGATTATTTTGACGTACAAAAATGTATTAAGACGGACCCAATGCCCTGTTTTGCCCTGCAGAAACACTACCACATTGAAACTGCTTTTAAATCTGCAGTACCACATTGAAACTGCTTTTAAATCTGCAGTACCACATTGAAACTGCTTTTAAATCTGCAGTACCACATTGAAACTGCTTTAAATCTGCAGTACCACATTGAAACTGCTTTTAAATCTGCAGTATCACATGTCATCAAAGATTCATCAGCGTGCCGGACGCGACTTCTACCGAGACGACGCACTCAGGCGGCAATCTCTCTCGCTCTCATTTGCTATCGGATGATAAAACGATGATTAAAAAAAATTCCGAAACACAAAGGCCTCTTGCGCTCTCCCTTTCTCAATAATATAAGCGGAGTAAAGGAGTTAGAAGTAATATATGTATTTTATCTGGCAAAACGTGGAAGAATGGTTTAATTGTCAAATTGTCCAATTATCGAGGGAGAATTTTTGGTTCAGAAGTAAATGCATATGATAAATAGTGGAATTTATGAAATCAGTTGAACTATATTAGAAACAGTGGAATTATATGGAAAACAGTGGACTTATAAAAGTAACCGTGAAAAACAGTGAAATTAAGTGTTTTTTGTGAAGAACAACTAAAAGTTAAAATTGAAAATTACGAACTAAATTATTCAATTAACATCGAATTAAATTTTTTTATGTGCAAAAACAAGGCCCCACAAATTTTGTTTAACCTAATTGTTGATGAATTGTTTATTAATTGTTGATGAAGTTGTTGATAAATTGTTGATTAATTTGTTGATGAATCTTTGATTAATTGTTAGCGAATTGTTGTTGATCGTAGTCTAGGCCACAATACAATTACGAAGGTAGTCACTTCGGCAGTCAAAGCAGTCGGGTTTTGCTTCAGTGCGTCTTCGTTTTTCGTAGTGAAAGGTTGTGTGCGGACAATTTTTTTTTTGGTTAACTATTAAAACATTCTACAGTCGAGTCCCGATAATTCGAAATGGCAAGGGGATCACTTTTTTTACGAATTAGACGGGAATTCGATTTATCGAGATTTCTATTTAACGGGGCTCAAAAATGAAAGAGTCGAATAAACGGGGTTTTTAATTAAAATTAAATTAAATTAAAATTAAACAAACTGTGAGAGAGGCTGCAAATGAAGCAAACGTCTACATTTGTTGAGTTGATATTTCAAACTGAATTTTATTTCTTAAAGTCCTAGCTTAGGTAGCTAACATGAGATTTTCATATCCTTATTTCTAGACCCACGGATCGGTATATCCCCGACCGCGGGAAACATAATCTCGCTCTTATCTCTAACATGTGGTGACCACTCGCAGGAGGTCATATAACCCACCAAGTGTGTACCTAGTCGAGTTAGGTATGCACACATGTGCTAGAGTGCAGGACATCTGCAGGCCAGACGCAACACTTTGGTGTAGCTACGTTTATCTTGCCTATACATAGACAAGCTCTTATCTCTCTAATATACAAATGTGTGTTCTTTCTGAACACAAACATTATAAGTATGTACAAAACAATAATATAAAATTATAGTAACAAAAAATTAAACAATTAAGCAGAAACATTAAATTATAAAAAACAAAAATTCAAGCTTTAAAATAATTGGTAATTTTTGATTGCTTGGTCACTTTAAGAATTGTTGGGCAAAACTTCTTCCAAAATTGGCTTGCATTATAAACTCTTTTTTCTGTAGAATTGATGTTATTGTTGATGGAGCGACATCGAATTGTTTTGCCACCTCAATTTTCTTTGTTCCATTATGAATCGCCGAAATAATGCTTTGTTTTTGCGCGATTGATAACGTCTTTTGCGTACGTTTTTGTGACATTTTCACAGAACGATGTTACTCTCCGAAAAAAAATCAGCAAACTAAAAGAAAACAGCGAGAGAAACACAAAATTCATAATGCATAGCGACATAAAGCGGCATAGCTGTATGCAAAATTAATAATAATTACAACAAAATTCGCATCGCATTACGATTTATAAGAGGTTACGAAACAAAATTACGATTTATAAGAGGTTCAATATTCATTGCGTTGAGCCAAATAATACGAATTAACGAGGGGACCAAAATGTATGGAATTTTTACGAATTAACGAGTTTTTTCAAGGGGAAAGAATTTTTTACGAATTATCGCGCTTTTCAATTTAGCGGGGTACGAATTATCGGGATTAGACTGTATTTTAAGACAATAATATACTTTAGAATTAAGCATTTAAACAAAAGACTCGCCACGCAAAAACAACAGTAACGGCTCAGTAACGTTTTATTACAAAAAGTAGCTTAAAGCCCCATAAATCATCTAAAGGTTAATCAACACAGTCTATTGTTGTCCCGCTCGCACTTACTAGGTTGAGCCCCTCTCACTCACACTCATTGCTATGATTGAAGAGGTACCAGATTTTTCCGACGGAACTACCTTTTAAATTTGTATCATGGTCTAGGCCATGTCCATGAATGCACGATGGCGCATAAAGGAGCCTTAGCAGCAGTAGACCGATGAATGAGGGATTCAAGATTATTTGGTGAGGATTTGATATGGCTATCCGGAGATTTTCTTCAAATACTTCTTGTCATACCAAAATCTACGGGTGCCGATGAGGTTAATGTTTACCTACAAAACGTCTTCTTTGTGGTGCCCAGAATTTGAAATTGACCACAAACATGAGTTACTTTTCAGAATGACGCCTCTGCTGCTGAATTCTTATGACAACTATTGGAGCTTGATAATGGCAAAATTCCCTTTCCCGTTATATTTCGTGTTCGTGCTATTTTTACACTATGGAAACATTTAAAAAGAGGATAACCACATAAATGTAAATATTACCTTTTATTTAAATAAATTTAATTTATTTTTTTTTAAGGCGGTGATTAAAAAAACTCGTATAACCTGTAAGTGTCACGGAGTCTCTGGATCATGCAGCCTAATAACTTGCTGGCAACAATTGGCTTCGATAAGAGAGATAGGTAAGTTCATGGATCCAATATTCAACTACGGTACTTCTTTATCTGCACGCAGAATTGAAAATTAGGATGGACTTGTTCAAACATAATAATCAATACAAAAATCTAACTGTATCGAAATGAAATTTAGGAAAATATATTTTTTGATGGGTCGGTCCAGTATTTCTAGGTATTTAATAAACACCATAAACAGTCTTTTTTTTAAATTGTCGAAATCTCGAACCTTCACCCGTCGTTTGCGTCAACCACTTTCTTGTCGGGTCATCCATACACTTTACGATTTTGACCCCATTCAGCCACCCGGCCCCATCAAATGTGGGCATGGGCGCCATCCGTGTAGTCAATGACGCAACGAGCCGCGCATGCAACGTCTTCCACCGCCCATCGGTCATCTTGCCATTCTCATCGATCCTGTCAATGAGTGCCACAATCAAGTGTTGTTTGATCACCTCATGACACACACGCATGAGCACTGGCCTTCGCGATTTTCTTTTCCCTGTGTTTTCGCCTTCAAGAGGGGGCCTGCTTCCTGCTTGGGAACGCGATGCCGCTAGCTGGCCGGAGTGTCTTTAATGGCACTCTCGGCGGATCTTTGCCGGTTGGTGGCAAACATCTCCTCCACCTCGTTGGCGAAACCGACCGTTATTGCCATATTTGGAAGCTTAGCGAAGTGCAGCCTGCTCTCTTCGATCCTTTGCTCTGCCAAGTTGATCTTTACCTTCTCCTCTTCGAATAGGGCAGCTTTTGTCCGGAGCCGGCTCTGGATGCGAAGGGCAGCCTTAGCCTTCTTTTCCTCGTTTGAATGCTTCGGCTTCTCCCCTGGGCGGGGAGCTGGTGCCTGGCTCTGGCGAGCGAAGAAGACTTTCTTCCTCCTCTTTTGAAAGCTGCACGCTCTTCAGGTCCGAGTCTGTATACACAACGGCACCCGTGCGGCTTAGCCTTCTTTGTGACGTTATTATGGCAGTAGCGTTACAACTGACGTGACCTGCTCCCCTATGACCGCTGGCCATACGCAAAGAGGATTGCTCCCCTCCGTGCCCGCCGGTGGTATCAGTCACGTCTTCCACCGACGTTTGAGCTAACATCCCAGCCCCGGTTGCTTCGGCTACAAAAAAAAGTTTGGTTTATATCCGGGGAACCACCCACTTGTGTTTTATGCCTGCCGCCAAGAATATAAGATCCCTATAATTAAAAATCTCTCCAGCAGCTTCCCAACAAATAAAATAAAATAAATAATAAAAATAAAAACAATAAAATTAACGATTACAACTGCGGCTTACCAAGAATGACTGCCGTAATAGCTCCTGGTACAAGGGAATATCACGCATTAGACGGTAAACTCTCTAAAGCCAAGCAAGCCGAAACAAGGCGAGAGCAAAATGCATCTAAAATTAAAGGGACTATTGTCCCTTTGTATGATGCCTTCAAAGACTGCTGCTACACAATTAGTGCACAAAAACATGACGTATCACACTAACGAAGGAGACTCGCCGCGCAAGAGCTGGAGTTCCTAAAGGTCCTTTAATCTGTCTGAAAGGGAGCCCCTTCTGCGCGATACTTTGAAAACCCCCTGACTAGTTGGTAAACCATGCGTTAAAGTGGCTAACAAACGCCGAGCACCAGCAATACAAAATTTTAAGTCAGAGGAGGGGAGTCCCTTCTGCGCGATACTTTGAAAACCCCCTGACTAGTTGGTAAACCATGCGTTAAAGTGGCTAACATACGCCGAGCACCAGCAATAAAAAAATTTAAGTCAGAGGGTTTCTTCTGAACTATAATAGAAGCAGATATAAATAAACTGAAACAATGGTTTAAAATCTAACATTTAGATCTTCTATCATTTCAAAATTTATTGCCTGAAACAAGATAGGCGCGGCAGATACGGGGAATCGCACTAGACTAAATCGAAGACGAGTGCAGCCAAAACCATCGATAATCTGCGTTTTTTAAACTGCGAGGAGAATCACGCTGTATATGACAAAAGATGCCGTTTAAGTTATATGGACAAAAACTAAAAAAAAATTGCAGCCAATATTCCAACTATAACGAATTCCACCGGTAGGCAAAGCGTGGTGTATCCTATGCACAAAGAGCCAGGGCAAATCGCCCAATTCACGACAGACAGAGGGACTCTCCGGGTAACCATTACTCTTATAGTCCTGATGACTTCCAAGCAATAGGGACAACATCGGTCAAAAAAGGACACCTAGCAACCCAGCACTGTAGACCTGTTAGCTTCATCTCTTGCAACCATCTCCCTAATAGTTCGAGATCTACAAAAAGTAGGCCCCACTAGATTGAATTTAAACCTAAAAACTAAACCTAAGCTAAACAAGAAAGGAAGCTAACTTCGGCACGCCGAGGTTTATATACCCTTGCAGACAGAACTTCGATGACTAGGAATCCATACAACAAAAACTTTAAATAATATATATTTATGTTCAAAAACAATGAAGTAATACCTGCTTTCATTTCATTCACCTATACATATTATATTTACAGTTTTACATTCACAGATTTGCATTTTTCCTCTACATCTAAAGATCAATTGTAAAGTCATTTAGGTGCCAATAATCGTTCGATTTTCATACAAATTTGGCACAAAATTTAAGACTAATATAAAACGGCACTATCTAAACTTTTATGAAAATCTGTTGAAAACTGAAAAAGTTATAATTTTTAATTGTATTAATTTCTCGATCGTTCCTATGGGAGCTTTATATAGAGTGATTGTCATAAAATTGTAAAGTAATAGAAAATGGCTATATCTCAGTTCAGTTGAAAACTGAAAATGGTATAATTTTTTTTTTAATTAAAAAAAAAATTTTTTTTTTTAATTTTTCTGACATTGGCAAGTTCAAAACATCTCCGAGGACTACTTACACATTCAAAAGGAGCTTAGCTCGGCGGAAGATGTATAAGAAGAAGGAAACATCCTCGAAGGAAAAATCAAGGACGAAGCAGATGAAGCCTCTCGCAACCCGCAGACATCGATTAGATGCCTATACCCTACGATGCCCAGAGAGATAGTGTCGGTATAGTGTTGATAACCATTGTTCAGGTGAGGAGACCCTCTGCAATGGGCACTGCTCACCAAGTTTTCAAAAGCTTGGTCGCTCTTACGCTCCCATTTTTCGGTCCTCCGCGCTTTCATCGTCGAGCGAATCTTACTTCTTGTTGGCATTCCCGGCTCGTTGGTATTCCCGATCTGAACGACGGCTAGTCCCCGCTACATAAAGTAGATGCGCTTCTACTCTCACGTAGCCCCCGGAAATTTTTCTTCTTAGGCTTAACGGGTGACGCGTTTCGTCCGAGACAGATTTTCTTCTTGTTCAACCCCATTTTCTTTTCGTCCGAGACGGATTTTCTTGTTCAACCCCAGATTCTTTAGAGACCCCCCCCCCTACATAAAACACCACTGCATGGCAGGTCCGACGATCCTTAAGGAAGGGCAGGCACAACAGTCCAGAAAGCTATAAAGGACTTTTGCGGTATAAGAATCGTGGAATTCCTTACGACAAACTCCTTTTACTTCACCAACAATTATACCGATGTGATAGATGATGTTTAAGTTGTGTTTCTGTAGAACTTCAAGATCAGTTACTGAATATATGCGTTCAAGAGCAAGGATGGTTGAAATCTTGCGCTTCTCTACTTCTCCCAGCGACTCTTGCTGGTAGCCACCGAAGTGACGCATTCTGGTCCTATATAGTGCTTAACACTGGCAGAGCAGGTACTATGTGCTAAGTGCGTCTCCTGCTTCGTTGGTGGTTTGCAACTTCTGCAGTTTGTGTTGTGGGGTAGCCCCATCTTCATTGCATGCGATTTTCTCGCCCAATGACAGGTGAAGGCTGACGCGATCCTAATGATATGTTTTTTGCTTTGACATATAAGTAATTGTGTGCGTTTTTTGTCGAAGTTTGGCCAGCATAGCTTGGCTCTCTTGTAATGACTCATCCTTGGCCATTCACTTTTGGCCATGTTTTTGTAGTTTTTGAATTGTTCGATAGTATCTCCATACTGTTGCTGCGCCCAGCTGAGCGCTCTCTGGCTAGCTTGTCGGCTTTCTCTTTCCCATATATGTCGTTGTGCACCCAATAACCCTCACACCCTGGTTGAGCATTGATAGCCGCATGGATATCTATGGCCTTGTATTTATTTTACTGCATCCAATAAGAGAGTACCTCAGCCTGGATGATCTCACCGAAAATAGGAGCTCCACGCCATTTTATTTTCAGTTCATTTTAGAGTTCATATTGTTTGGTTACACTGTCTCTTATTCAATCTTCCCTCGTTGGGTAAGAGGTCGTTTAGGCTTTTCCGAGTCTCATTTAGTATTCTGATACATCGTGCGACGTTCTACGCAGTATTTGCAGTGTCCGTGATGAACAGGCTTAACGACATAATGTCTAGGATGACGTTCAGAGTATTCGCCGTTTATAATTTATTAAAAATTTTGTTTTTCAAAAGGATAACTTATCCTATTGGTATTTATAAACAAAAAACGAGATTTCTGGTATTTAAAGCCGTATATGCTATTGTGACAGATTTACCTTCTTCAATATTAAATATGTATAAATTTTGTAAGGTGGTTAATGGTAAGAATTAATTTAACTTAAAATACAGCATCACATCAAAAAATATTAGTCCCTTCATTAAGAAAAGGTATATGGTACACTTTTTCTATCGTGGGCCGTATAGCTGTCGAAATGTAATTTTAGTAGCTACCTTGACTTTTCGCTATATTCTTTTTCCTTGTGTGACCCAGGATAGGTTACATCTCATAGTGATGGCAAGGTTAACGATTTGGTCTTTATGCGTAATACAATCATTATTAATGCATAGATTTAAAAGATTGGGAATTACTTGACGATCTTTTGTTTATAATTAAATATTTACATTTTAAGGAATACATTTTTTGAGTTGATTTTTTAATATTCTGGCGTTACATGTATATTTAAAAAACTATTCCAGTTAATATTAAACATTATAAATAAAATCAA